TGTTATAATTAATTTCTTCTTGATAATGTGACTGTCATTTATTGGAAAGGTGCAGAAAGAAATGTTCCTCATTAGTTGGAGAGAACTTTTTGCATGAACACTCTCTGGTAGCTCAGCGTATCATTTGTGATCATCTAAGGGCAGTTGGTGGAGTTCTCAATGTGCCAATTACAAAGAAACTACTTGCGGCAGCAGCTTCATCATGACAGAAATATGAGAAGCATCTACAGAACCAAAGGGACAAAAAAAAGACAGCTTCAAAGCCGAGGCAACTGGGCAGCTGACTTTTGTCACTAAGTCCAATGCTCTTAGAAAGGCAGCCAAAGAGAAGACTCTTCAATTACAAGAAGTTGAAGACAAATTAAATGGAAAGTTAGAAGCTCTAAAGGGCTGCTGAAACGTTATGCTAAGATTTTTTTGAGGACTTTCAGTACTGCTGGATCTGTACTTATCTGTACCGTACGTATTTATTATTTTGCTTATGTAATTTAGACTTAGTAGAAGCTGCCAAATAGCCAGTGACTGTGGTCGTTTTACAGAATGTGAGTACAGACACTTATGCCATGGTCTCGTCAACCAAGCCTGAACTATCTGAAAATTGTAAATTACTTTGTCGAGTGATTTGGTTATGAAAAGTGGTCTAGGAGTTTAGATTGACGAATAAAACTTAGTCCTTGAATTTTATTTGTCTGAAGTTGTAGGAACCATGGTTTCAGAATATGACAAGGAGAAGAAACTTGAAAAAAGAAGAGCCAATTATAAAAAACAATTATCTGAAGAAAGTGCTGAAAAAAAGCAAGAAAGGCTTGCAAAAAGGAGAGCGAATTATAAAAAACAAGCTTCTCAGCAACCAGTGAAAGAGAGGCAAGAAAAACTGATTAATACTCCAATTCATGAGCAAACACGGGCAAAAAGCAATATTGATATGTTTTATAAGTCCAATATCTATACAGTTTACCAGTGTTCTGTTTGTCGGGAAGCATGGCCCATAAAGTTCAGGCCAAAAATCGCTAATCAATATCAGTGTTCAAGGTGCACCAATGATAAACAACAACCAAAGAAATTTTCAAAATAGAATGATATGATTCCTTTATTAGTTCCTTCTCAGCTTGCTGGCTTAACCCAAGTAGAAGAAATGCTTATTGCATGAGCACTTCCCATTATGCGCGTTTACATAAAGCCTGGTGGGCAACGGGGCTATTCAGGTCACTGTATCAACCTTCGACAGAATGTAGGTGAACTAGCACATTCTCTACCAAGATACTCAATTGATTTATCTGTTATAGTTGTCAAGATGAAAGGTAAAGACAACAGCTTTAAAGATGTAACAGTTCGAAGACAAAATGTTGCAGATGCACTGGATTGGCTTATTAATAACAATCCGTATTACAAAGACATAATTATCAAAAACGATTCTTTGAACTCATTGCCTTTGCATGGTGTACCACAAGACCTACTTTCAATAGAAACAGAAAATCTTGAAAACAGTGAAGCTAGTGAGCCTGACTTAGGGCCTCAAAACGAAGAAGACATAGTTTATAATGAAAGCACAGAAATGAGCAGTTTTCTACCTATTCCTGAATGTCAACAGCAAGAAGTTCAAGCTATACAACAACAGTTGTGTCACCAGCCTACACATATGCCTTGGCCAACAGTAGATAATGAGCCATTGAACGAGTATCTAACTCCTTTCTTAGCAACATTAGCTTTCCCTACATTATTTCCTGATGGCAAGGGTGACCCTACTAATCCTTCACTTCACAGAGATGTACCTCTTGCAGAAAGAGTTAAGCATCTTTTAAGATTTGGAGAAAATAGAGATGGCAAGTGGCTATACCGCTTTTCCAGTCATCCAAGATTTGCTTACTGGGCTTTGAATATGATCAAAAGAAAACGTATTCTGCAGCAAACAGAAATATTTCTCAAACAGAATCCTGGAGAAGCACATCTGACTGTAGAAGAACTGCAACAAATGGCAGCTGACAACAACACAAATGTTTTCGTATCAAAGTTATCACGCTATCTTAGTAACATAACTGGCTCAAATGCTTATTGGCATAAAGCTAAAGAGGATTTAAAAGCAATAATAAGTCATGTTGGAGCTCCAACATTCTTTTTCACTTTTTCCTCTGCTGACATGCATTGGCCTGACCTACATGCATTATTTAGCAGCTCATTAAGTGATACCACACCTGAGAGCAGACGGCAGAATGTCATTAACAATCCTCACTGTAGTGACAGTCAAACATTGGAAACTTCATTTGAGTAACTTTACCAGTACTCGTAATTTACATTGTTAATGTTATTGTTAATCCGGGATACCGATACCTTTTAGTGCCCGTCAACACATATGTCAGCGGACTCGTTCTGTGAAGACGCCATTTTGTGAAGTATATGTAGCACGAGGTTTTTGTAGATTAAAGCCTTTAGAAACGAGGCCAAACGTTTGTTTAACTATCATAACAATTTAATCTACAAAAAAAAAAAAAAAAAAAAACAAATGGATAAAGTCCTCAGGCCCGAGAGATTCAGCGCCGATCCAAGCACGTCTGGAGCATCAAAATCGTGGATTCACTGGCGTCGAACCTTCGAAAATTTCCTCGCCGTATTGACGGAAGAAGGCCTCGATAAATTTGGAGTCCTGACAAATTTTATTTCGCCTGCGGTATTCGAATATGTAGAAGAATGTGCCGACTACGAATCTGCAATCGAAACTCTTCAAAATATTTTCGTGAAGCCGACGAACGAAATCCACGCCAGACACGTGCTCGCTACCAGACGACAACAGGTTGGTGAAACTCTAGACGAATATCTTCAAGCGCTCAAAACTCTCGCCAAAGACTGCAACTTTCAATCTGTCACCGCTGCCAAATATTGTGAGGAATATATACGGGATGCTTTCATTACTGGGCTACATTCTAACCAAATACGCCAAAGGCTACTAGAAAACAAAACTCTAGATCTGAAAACGATGTTTGACCAGGCCAGGGCGCTCGACTCTGCCATGCGCAGTTCAGAGAGTTATTCTGTCCCTCAACCTGTCAGCGTTGCAGCCTCAGCACAAGAAATGACCGCTCAGAATCCAATCCAAGTCGACTCTGCTCAGTCAGACTCCACACTCGCTGCAATTGATTCAAAGTGCTTCTTCTGTGGAAATCCTAAACACCCTCGTTCCAAGTGTCCAGCCAGAGATGCAATTTGCAATAAATGTCAAAAGAGGGGACATTTTGAGAAAGTCTGCCGAAGCAAGGCCTCTAAACCCAGCGAAGTTTCAGCTGCTCTCTGGCCACCTACTCTTGCCACCGTAGGAATTCCCCAATCTCTTAAAGGATCAACTGCTACTGTTGTTGTCAACAAGGTCTGGAGTGTAGAAGCACTCTTTGACAGCGGAAGCAGTGAAAGCTACATACATCCAAGCCTCGTTGAAGTAGCTGCTATCTCTGTTAACCCTTCGCTCAGCCAGGTCTCCATGGCAACATCTTTGTTAAGTACAAAGACCGAGGGCTCTTGCTCTGTTACTATTAACTACCAAGGTCAAACTTATAAAGACTTTCGCCTGTTGGTTATGCCAGGGCTTTGCTCTGATCTGATTTTAGGACTCGATTTTCAGTCTCAACATGATAGTGTCACATTCAAGTATGGCGGAACAAAACCGCCACTGTCGGTATGCAGTCTCACTACTCTGAACATAGAGCCGCCATCACCATTTTCAAACCTCACTGCCGACTGCCATCCTATTGCTACAAAGTCCAGGCGCTACAGCAAAGAAGACCTGAACTTCATTGGCAATGAAGTAGAATGGTTGCTCAAGGAAGGCATTATTGAGCCAAGCCGGTCCCCTTGGCGGGCACAAGTAGTTGTCACAAAGGATGAGAATCACAAGAAACGCCTAGCTATTGATTATTCCCAGACAATCAATAGATTCACCCAACTAGATGCTTTCCCGCTGCCGAGGATCAGTGATACGATCAACGAAATAGCTCAGTACAAAGTGTTCAGTACTCTTGACCTCCAGAGTGCGTATCATCAAATACCTTTAAGAGAAGATGACAAGCCTTACACTGCGTTTGAAGCTAAAGGTGGGCTTTATCAGTTTACCAGGCTTCCTTTCGGTGTAACCAACGGTGTAGCCTGCTTCCAAAGAGAAATGATGAGATTTGTTGAAGATAACCACTTGAAAGCTGTGTTTCCATACATCGACAACATAACTGTATGTGGAAAGGATCAAGCTGACCATGATGCTAACCTCACATTATTCCAGGAGGCTTCTCAAAAGGCGAATCTTAAATTCAACGACAGCAAAAGCGTCTTCTCTGCTCAACGACTGCCATTACTGGGATACGTCATTGAAAATGGTTCTATTAGTCCAGACCCCGAAAGATTAAGGCCTCTACTGGAGCTCCCACTGCCGCAAAGCTCAAAGGCTCTTAATAGATGTCTGGGACTTTTCTCTTACTATTCTCAATGGGTTCCTTGTTTCGCCGACAGAATTAAACCCATAACCAGCTGTAGATCATTTCCTTTATCTTCTGAAGCACAGAAAGCATTTGAAGACTTAAAGAGGATCATTGCCAAAGCTGCTGTCTCTGCCATAGACGAGAGTATTCCATTTGAGGTGGAAACAGACGCCTCAGATGTAGTGCTAGCCACTACCCTAAATCAGAAGGGCAGACCTGTAGCCTTTTTCTCCCGCACCCTTCAAGGTAGTGAACTGAAACACTCTGCTGTAGAAAAGGAGGCTCAAGCAATAGTTGAGTCGGTCAGGCACTGGAGACATTTTCTCGCCGGGTCCCACTTCACTCTAAAAACGGACCAAAAGTCAGTTTCCTACATGTTCAACCAGCGTCATCAAGGAAAGATTAAGAATGACAAGATAATGCCCTGGAGGATTGAACTGAGTTGCTATAGCTTTGACATAGAGTATCGACCAGGCAGAGATAATGTAGCACCGGATACCTTCTCACGAGCCACGTGTGCTTCTAGCGTCAGTGATGCTCTCTACAAGCTCCATGATTCGCTCTGTCACCCTGGGATTACCCGATTATGGCATTTTATTCGAGTCAAGAACTTGCCTTATTCTCTAGAAGATGTTAGGAGGACTGTGAACTCCTGTCCAATCTGTTGTGAATGTAAACCGGTATTCCACCGCCCGGACCCAGTTCAACTTATAAAAGCTACCCAACCCTTTGAACGAATCAACATTGACTTTAAAGGGCCACTTCCTTCCAACGACAAGAACAAATACTTCCTGAATGTTGTTGATGAGTTTTCACGGTTCCCGTTCGTTTTCCCTTGCCCTGATTTGTCTACTCCGACCGTTATAAAGTGTCTCACCACATTGTTTTCTCTATTTGGTATGCCTGCCTACGTGCATTCTGACAGAGGGGCTTCGTTTATGAGTCAAGAGTTACGGGAATTCCTCTCTAGCAAAGGTGTATCTACAAGTCGTACAACCAGTTATAACCCCACATGTAATGGTCAAGTTGAGAGGTACAATGGCACTGTATGGAAGGCGATTACAACGTCTCTTAAGTCAAAGAAGCTTCAGGCAGAACAGTGGCAATTGGTCCTGCCAGATGTGTTGCACTCGATCCGTTCTCTTCTGTGCACCGCAACGAATGAGACTCCGCATGAACGTTTCCTGAACTTTTCACACCGTTCATCCACAGGTAGTTCGATCCCCTCTTGGCTGGCTGAACCTGGCCCTGTTTATGTAAAGCGTCATGTATGACACAGTAAGTTTGATCCTCTGGTTGAAAAAGCTGATGTTCTCTAGACCAATACTCACTACGCTCACGTTCGTTATCCTAATGGCAGAGAAACAACAGTTTCAACCAAGAATCTTGCTCCTTGTGGTCAAGTGGAACTTCTAGAACCACCCTCTTCAATCCAGCTCCCAGTCGTTAAACCCAATATTTCTAGTGAGTTTTCTCCCGTCAACGATCATCATGTTGATAAGACGCAAGAACCAACTAAAGAACCAGAACCCACAGAATTGAGGAGATCACAGCGAGAGCGCCGCCCTGTAGATAGGCTCAATTTATAGGAAGGGGTGAATGTAGTGACAGTCAAACATTGGAAACTTCATTTGAGTAACTTTACCAGTACTCGTAATTTACATTGTTAATGTTATTGTTAATCCGGGATACCGATACCTTTTAGTGCCCGTCAACACATATGTCAGCGGACTCGTTCTGTGAAGACGCCATTTTGTGAAGTATATGTAGCACGAGGTTTTTGTAGATTAAAGCCTTTAGAAACGAGGCCAAACGTTTGTTTAACTATCATAACACTCACATCACTGACTGGTTCTTTACACAGCGTTTAGAAAACTTCATTAAACATTGGTTGTATAATTCACTGGATACTGAGTGGCACTGGTACAGATTTGAGTACCAAGCCAGAGGTAGTATACACTGTCATGGTGTTGCAAAACTTAAGAATGACCCAGGATTATGTCAACTTTCAGAAACAGCTCTTAAAGGCTATTTGGCAGAAGTGTCCCTTGATAAAGCTGAACAATCAGATATTCTAGAACTAAACAAACAGATACTGGAAGGAAAAAAGCTTCTCAAACTGTATGTGAATATGTAGACTGGTTATTATCTACATACAATCCAGACCCACCAGAGGATGGTTTTTGGATCAAACCCTCCATTCAT